GGGGGGGGGAGAAGAGGGAGGGATTTAGGTGGAGAGATGGATAAGAGAAGAGATGAAAGTGATGGAGGTGGAGCCAAATAATTATTTAGGTTTATAGTGGCTAATGATATTTTTGTCTTGTCGCACTACTGAGGGGGTCTCACCAAATTAAAACTGAGATTTAGGTGTGTCAATGGTATTTAGTTCAAAATATTGTCCAAATTAGGGTATATTGCACGTTTGTGTTTTTCATATTTTATTATAAGGTTTTTTCAATTGTACTTCAAAATTTAATGAAACGTGTAATTTTGTATCAGTTTGAAACGAAAATGTACTTGGTTTTGTACCTAAATATATTGTTTTTCAAATTATTTTATTGTACGAATTTTTATCAATCCTCATTGAATGTATTTGCAAAATTTTGATAAGATCCATCTCGATTTTTAATTTTTTCATAAATGTCTAAATGTCAATCACCAAACAACCAACATAACAGAACAAAAGAAACAACAATCCATAATCAACAACAAAAGACACAAAAATTGCATTTAACTTAATATATTCACAAAAATTGAATGTTACTAATACATTCATCAAAAGTACTAAAAGCCATCAAAAGTACACCTTATCAAAAGCCACCAATATAGTATTTCAAAATACAAAGATGGTAAAACATCATTGGGATCATTAGTACCAAACTACACACAAAAAAAAATGCAAAAAAAGAATAACAGAACAACTATCCATTACTTAGTAGATCATTCTTTGATATTTTCAAATACTTCAGAAATTTAGAGATCACTTATTACTTCTCTTGAAGAATTAATGGGTCTCTTGATTTTGTTTAGAACAACTATACACAACCTCTGCTTGTTCTGGCAAAAGCTGAAATTTCGGTAAACCTAAAATTAAATAAATGTAAACTAACTTATATGTTACTAGCCACACAAAGTTGAATTTCATCCTCGGCGTTGATTGTGACGCTTGCGAATGTGATGGTAGAGTGGGGACAATTCTTGGTGCTCGCACAAGAGTGTGTGGAAGTGTTTATAAAAGAACACAAGTGTTGGAAAATGCTAAAAAATGCTCTAAAGCTTTTGAGTCTTTGATTAATGAATTGTTAGATGATTACAAATGAATGAAGTTATCATTATTTATAGAAATCCACCTTCTCAATGGATGGTGGTGATCATCTTGATCTAATGGCTAAGATCAACTCCTACGATCTCTTACCAAATATATACAAAGAAAGATCCTCTAAGGATCTTTACATTAATGTGAGGATTCTAGAAGATCAAGATCTTCTAAGGATCTCTACTCTTGGGCCTAACTGGGCCGCCTTCGACTTGGGCTCGCTTGATGGACCATCTTTAACCCCTTGGTTCCAAGGCAAAATGAGCGGCCAGTGACATTCTCCCCCACCTAATCCGGCGACATCCTCGTCGTTTCAAATGCCACAAATATTTTTTGGGTTCCCACGTCATCTCGGATTCGGGCAGTCCCTTCCACTTGATTAAGTATTTTATGCTGCTTGCTGCACACCTTGTCCGCTAACAACACGTCGCTCGAGTACCACTTCAACCTCCTTGTCGTAAGACTTGGTTACCACGGGCGGTGCTCGATGTGAATATCCTCGGCTTGGGTCTCTCTCGTCCACGTGATAAGGCTTGAGCATACTCATGTGGAAGACCAGATGAATCTTCAAAGTGCTAGGTAGGTCAAGTCTATAAGATACTTTACCTATCTTAGCCACAACCATTCGTATCTCCGGATAAGACCCATGTGCATGCCCCTTAACGACTTGAACTGTTGCCGTAGTAGCTTCATCGTGACTCAATCACCTACCACAAAGTCCTGACCTTGACGCTTGCCATCCGCCCATTTCTTCATATGCCTACGTGCCTTCTCCACGTAGGAACGAGCAAGGTCGACATGCTCCTCCCAAGTTTTGACCATCTTGACATATCCTGGGCTCCTTTCGCTTTCCACAGATGTCGTCAAGACATTAGGTGGGAGTGGTTGTTGAGCGGTCACAATCTCGAATGGGCTTCGACCCGTGGACTTGTTCCATTGCAAGTTGTAAGAGAATTAAGCGACGTCCAAAAACGATAACGTAGCTGATGAAACACATAAATGCATACCTTTGATGGTTCTTCCACCGTATAATCTTCCATTTTTGATGTCTTTTGACTTCATACAACTCTTTGTAAGGTTTGTTGAGTTTTGAAGGTTTTGAATGTTGAGGTTTTTCGGGTTTATGGAAGAGGAAGGAGATAAGTTTTTGAGGGTTTTGGAAGATGGAGAAGATGAAAATTTGGGCTTGTGGTTAAATTCTTGTGGTTTTTTAGTTTATGGTATTGCATCATTTTATTTTTTAACAAGTATTAGTATTTGTCCATTGAAAATTTTAATTTGATCTTGCACTTAATGAAATTAGTATTGCAAATAGCCGCGGCCTTGAAAAAAACCAGGGACTCTTATAAATTGAAACAAAGAGTTGTTTGGCCATACAGGGGCATTTTCTTCAACATTTGCAATTACCATTTTGGTATTTGTGCAAAATTGTAGGAATAAATTAAAATTGTGGCTAAATCATAAATATTTATAAGAAAGAGGTTGAAATAGTAGAGTCACGTGCTTTTTCCATCCAAACTAACTCCAAAATCAAACGGTGGACGAAAAGCGTAAAAAAATCGATTATTTGAGGACCAAATTCGCGGGCAAAAAAATGTAAGGACCTAAATCAAAAAGTGAAAAGGGTATAATATAGGGACCAAAATTATAATTTTCCTTCATATTCTTACTTCATACTACAATTTTTTACATTTTTCAACTTAAAAATGTATATTTTCAATTATATAATGCAGTATAGTTATATTTATCAAAGTATTTAAACAACGAATAATGCTTACAAAAAAATGGACTATACATGACTACTGATGACTATACATGACTACAATCGTATTCGACTATAGTCATATTCGACTACAAAACTACAATAGAGGAACACGAAGCTGCGGTAGAGGCAGGCGGTGGTGGCGGTGTACAAATATGAAGAAAAAAGATCGAAAGAGACAGAGAAAGATAACGAACGAGAGAGCGAGGGAGGCGGAGGCGGTGAACGAGAGATAGAGTGGGAGAGGTGGTGGTGGTATACGGATTTGGAATTAAAAAAAATCGAGAAAGAGAGAGATAGAGATTTTGTGGAGGTGGAGAAAGAGGCGGCGGTGGCGGCAGATGAAGAGGTTGTCGAATTACGAGCAGCGACGACATGAATGGGTCTTGGAGGAAGGGGGAGGAGGATTTAGGTGGAGAGGTGGAGAAGAGATGAGATGAAAGTGATAGAAGTGGAGGTAAATAATTATTTAGGGTTATAGTGGTTAATGATATTTTTGTCTTGTCACACTAGTCTCGAAGGTGTCACCAAATTAAAACTGAGATTTTGGTGTGTGAAAAAGTCAATAAAGTCAATGGTATTTAGTTCAAAATATTGTCCAAACTAGGGGATATTCCACATTTTCTTTTTTATATTTTATTTTATTATTTTTCCAATTGTACTTCAAATGTAATAAAACGTGTAATTTTGTATCAATTTGAAACGAAAATATACTTGATTTTGTACTTAAATACGTTGTTTCCCAATTATTTTATTGTACGGATTTTCATCAATCCTAATTGAATGTTTTTGCAAAATTTTGACAAGATCCATCCCAATTTTTAAAATTTTCATACATGTCTAAATGTCGATCATCAAACAACCAACACAATAAAATAAAAGAAACAACAATCTATAACCAACAACAAAAGGCACAAAAATTGCATTTAACTTAATACATTCACAAAAATTGAATGTTACTAATACATTTATCAAAACTCCTGAAAGCCATCAAATGTACAGTTTATCAAACCCCACCAATATAGTATTTCAAAATACAAAGGTGGAAAAATATCTATTAGGAACTTTAGTACCAAACTACACACAAAAAAGAATGCCAAAAAAGAATAACATAAATATCCATTCTTTCTAGATCTTTCTTGATTTTTTCAAATACTTCAGAAATTTAGAGCTCCCTTATTCTTTTGGGGTTGTGAGCTGACACCCTATACAGTTACTAATACTTCTCTTGAGGAAGCAAGGGGTCTCTTCATTTTGTGCTCTTTTGATTTTGTTTAGAACAATAGTACCCAACCCCTGCTTGTTCTGGCAAAAGTTGAATTTCTGGTAAACCTAAAATTAAATAAATATAAACTAACTTATATGTAACTAGCCACACAAAGTTGCATTTAATCCTCGACACTGATTGTGATGCTTGGGAATGTAATGGTTAAGGTGCAAATGGGTTCACCACAACTAATTCTTGAGTGGAAGGTGGAGTAGGGGCAATTCTTGGTGCTCTTTCACGGACATGTGTAGTATGTTACGGACTTGAACTTCGATCAAGTATCGTGCAACACTTAGCAACGAATAAACGCCCATCGCGTTTATCCGATCTTCATCCCTCACAAATAAGCTAAGTCAGCCTCACTCGAAAGTGCACAAAAGTGTGTGCAAGTGTTTATAAAAGAATATAAGTGTTGGAGAATGCTAAAGAATGCTCTAAAGCTTTTGACTATTTGATTAATGAATTGTTAGATGATTACAAATGAATAAAGTTACCCTTATTTATACAACTCAACCTCCCCAATGGATGGTGGTGATCATCTTGATTTAATGGATAAGATCAACTCGTACGATCGCCTACCAAATATATACAAAGGAAGATCCTCTGAGGATATTTACATTAATGGGTGATTTTAGAAGATCTTCTAGAATTCTCTAAGGATCTCTACTCTTGGGCATAAACGGTCCCCCCCTTCAACTCAGGCTCGCTTGATGGATCATCTTTAACCCGTTGGTTCCAAGGCAAAACAAGCGCCCCGTGACATTCTCCCGTGCCTCATCCGGCGACGTCCTCGTCGTCTCAAATGCTTCGATGATGTCTGCGAACTACCATAAATCTTTCTTGGGTTCCCACGTCATATCAGATTCGAGCAGTCCCTTCCACTTAATTAAGTATTGTGTGCTCTGCTACACATCTTGTCCACTAACGACACGTCGCTCGAGTACCGATTCAATCTCCTTGTCGTAAGACTTGGTTACCACGGCGGTGCTCGATGTGAATATCCTCGACTTGGGTCTCTCTCGTCCACGTGATAAGGTTTGAGCATACTCACGTGGAAGACGGGATGAATCTTCAAAGTGCTAGGTAGGTCAAGTTTGTAAGATACTTTACCTATCTTAGCCACAACGGGGAAGGGTCCTCCGTAACTCCGGATAAGACCCCTGTGTATGCCCCTCAACGACTTGAACTGTTGCGGTAGTAGCTTCACCATGACTCGATTACCTACTGCAAAGTCTCGACCTCGACGCTTGCCATCGGCTCACTTCTTCATACTCTTACGCACCTTCTCCACGTAGGAGCGGGCAAGGTCGGCATGTTCCTCCCAAGTTTTGACCATCTTGACATCTCCCGGGCTCCTTTTGCTTTCCACGGATGTCGTCATGGCATGGTGTGTGAGCGGTTGTTGACGGGTCACAATCACGAATGGGCTTCGACTCGTGGACTTGTTCATTTGCACATTGTAAGAGAATTGAACGACGTCAAAAAACGTACAAAAACGATAACGTAGCAAATAAAGCACACAAATGCATACATCCGTAGAATCTTCCATTTTGATGTCTTTTGACTCCATACTTGCCCTCTTTGTAAGGTTTGTTGAGTTTTGAGGGTTTTGAATGTTGAGGTTTTTTGGGTTTATGGAACATGAGAAAGGTTTATGTGAGTTTTGGAAGATGGAGAAGATACAAATTTGAGCTTGTCGTTAAATTTTTGTGGTTTTTTAGCTTATGGTATTGCATAAATTTTCATTTTATTTTTTAACAAGTATGGCCGTAATGGATATATAGTATTTATCCATTGAAAATTTTAATTTGGTCTTGCATTTAATGGAATTAGTATTGCAAACACCCGCGACCTTGAAAAAACCAGGGACTTATAAATTGACAAGAAGAGTTGTGGGCCATAAATGTGAAATACAATATAGTACATGGGTTTAAAATTAATTGTAAAAAAGATCAAGGACCATTGTAAATTGACACGAAAAGTTGTGGGGCATAAATGTAATAATAGGGCAAATACTAAATGGTAGATTAGTCAGAAATCATTCTGCACAACTTCTCCACCATTTTGCATATAATAATACTTTTAAATTACTGTCACTAATCTTCCATTATTCTTTCTCGTCCAATTCCTTTTCCATTACTCATTACAAAAAAATAAATAAAATAAAGCTCAAAAAATAATTCATCAAATACTTTTTTCGCATATCATTTTCAGCTCCCAATCCACCATTCATCGTCTTTATATTTTCAGGTTAACGAGTTCTAAGCTCTAACCTCCGCCAATTGTTTTTTTTTTTTTTTTAAATTGAAATTTAAGCCTCTATTTCCATAATTTTGAGGCTTTTTTTTTTTTTTTTGGTTCCTCGGCCCCAAAATTTGATAAAACAAAAAATTGAAGTGTGAATTGTGAGCTAATTTAGAATTTGTTTCGTGTAATAAATTTGGCTCAGGGGCGTTTTTGTGTGATTATGGTGTTTTCGTGTGGGTGTTATTGTTAAAAGGGAGAAATTGTGTGGTAATGAATGGATTATGTACAAATTGTTGGGGCTGAATTATTTTGATGGAGAGCTGTGATGGAGGAGATGATCAGGCTTCTGGATGGATGCAAGTCAAAAAGGTTTTTTTCTCTTTTTTTTTTTTTCTTTTATGTTTATTATTATTATTATTGTTGTTGTAGTAGTTTTTTATTTTATTTTTATTTTATAAATATTTGTTGGATTAGCAGATGCATTTGCTTTCTTTAAGAATTGAATGTGTTTGTTTTTTTATGTTTTATTAAATGGAGAGGGTGAAATGGCTGATGATTGAGGATTATCATAGAATTGATCTGGACTGAGTTTTCGTATTACATATTCGTGGTATCCGGTGGAATGAATTATTGGAGTCAAATAATCAACTATTATTGGCAAATTTCTTTACGTGTTTGTTTTGGGGTCATGTTTTTACCTGAAATCATTTTATGAACTTCTTGCCCAGAAACACAGAAGCAATTTGAAGTTCTCACTACATGGTTGGGTTGAAGGTCTCACCGGAAAACAGAGGTCTAGAAAGCCGAACAATCAGCGTTCGTTGGTTCAACAATTAGGGAGTAGTAAAAATGAAATCCTACCTTTCAATGCAAGTAAAGAATGCGTCGTGCATGATGTTAGTAATGCTAAAACCCCGACATCTGTCTCTACTGAGACCAAGGCAGTTGACAGTTACCTAGATAAATGTGTTGTTAGTCAAGATAATGAAGACGCTGATTCATCTCATTCGGCACCCACAAATACCGTAGATCCTAGAAACAATTTAGTCGTCAATAATCAAGAAAAAACCCAGATAGATATTATCCTTCCGAAAATCAAGTGGGGTGACTTGGATGAGGGAACACTCATACATTACGGAAAATCTCCTCAAGGTGTATCTAAGTTTGAGGGAAACAAAAATCACGATATTTTTTCTCCGAAGTCTGAGGATGCCGGGGAACATCTTTCATGTGTTGTTGTTCCACTTGATCCCGAGGAGAATAAATCTGTTGAGGCAGCAACTTACGAAGATCGGGTTCTTTTGAAATCTCAATCTTTGTCTCCGAGGTCTATTATACCTGTTGAAGAAACCCCTAAAGAGGTTAATGAAGTCACTTTAGAAGATTTTAAAGAGCCAATAACCGACGAAAAAATAGTTAGTCAGAGAACTAGTATTTCAGGTGAGCAAATCGAGCGGGAAAATGAGGAAAAAGATAACCCATCTCTGGAGAATATTGCATGCACAGATAACGAAGAGGAGGCAATGACGACGTCAGCTAATTCGTCATGTGAATCTGGTTTGCCCGATATTTCTGTAGCACCTCTTATCGATAATTCTGACATATTACTACAAGAGAATGAAGAACCTGGAACTAGTGGAGAATCTATATTGGCTGATTCAGTTGAAGAGTGTGGAAATCAAGAATGTAAAGAAGATTCTGTTGATTTACTGGACGCACAAACTGCAGATGCTATCGATTCAGATGCCACAGGTGAAAGCAAAGAAAGATTTCGAGAACGGCTTTGGTGCTTTCTATTTGAAAACCTTAATAGGGCTGTAGACGAACTTTATCTTCTATGTGAACTTGAATGCGATCTTGATCAAATGAAAGAGGCAAGTCTTGTTCTTGAAGAAGCTGCGTCGGACTTTAGGGAACTGAAGTCTAGAATCGAAAAGTTTGAGAAATCGAAAAGGGCTTCCTCTCGTGGTGCTGATGGGGCTCTATTGATGGTGCAGTCGGATCATCGCAGACCACATGCCCTTTCATGGGAGGTCAGTATTCCGATTCTTTGCGGTACAAATGGAATTCCATGTAGTTTTTGACGATTTAGAAATTTAGGCATTGTCGCTCCCTTCTTAATTTGATGCATATATTTTCAATTTATACTAATAATATCTAAATCACAAAAAATAGAAAATAAATGAAAAAATTTGTAGAGGAAATAGTAAACGAATTTTTCATTTTTTTATCTTATTTATTCCTGCAATGCTGAGTCCGTAATTTGGATATTTGATCATTTTCTGGGCTTTTTTCGGGATTCCTTTATCTTTCCTTTTGTCCATCATCAAGTAATTTTACTTACAAAAGATACGTTTTAACTTCAAAGCTTTTTATTTATGGTGAACTGTACATATCATTTAGCAACTTATGGAGATTGTGGTGTCATTAACTTCAACCTTGATCTTAAAAGAAGAAAGCTTGAAAAAGATTATCTCATCTGAAAAGATGGATACTCTTTTATGCATTTATGCATAAAAGGATTCTCTGGAATTCTCATTTCAGTTGTAGCTGATAACAGAGACAAACTGATCAATTTTTACATACCGCTCGGCATTTGTTTGTTTTCTCAAGATCGTAGTGTTTTACTCTGAGGGCAGGTCCGTCGAATGACTACTTCACCACATAGAGCAGAGATTCTGTCTTCATCTCTTGAGGCTTTTAGAAAGATACAACAAGATAGAACTAGTGAACGTGCCAACAATGCTGAGAATCTGGATATCGGAACAAGGGATATTTTGGACTTGGAGAATTATGCTAAGAAAGATAATTCAGTGGGTGATTCCAAAGAATTAACGGTCAATTCAATGAAGCATACTGGAGTCGTAGATATATCTCAGAGCTCCACTAAAGAAAAGAGGAACCTTGACTCAGATAATTCACGTTCTTTGGCATCTAAATTACCCCAGAAAGAGGGTTCTGCTTTTGAGTCCGAGAAGTTCATTCATAAGAGAAACAAAATCTTAGCAGAAGCCTCTACTGACAAAAATGCGAAATCAGTTGAATCCTCGAGAAGGAATATTCCTTTTCCCGAAAGAGAAAGAGAAAAGAAAATCGGTATATCATCAAAGTCGATGGATGCTTGGAAAGAGAAGAGAGATTGGGAGGACATACTTGCTACTCCCCATCGTGTGTCTTCCCGATTCTCTTATTCCCCTGGCATGAACAGGAAGAGTGCCGAGCGAGTACGTGTTTTACATGACAAACTTATGTCACCTGAGAAGAAGAAGAAATCTGCTGTCGATGTTAAAAAAGAAGCAGAAGAAAAACATGCTCGGGCCACAAGGATCAGAACTCAACTCGAGCACGAGAGAGTTCAAAAGCTTCAACGAACATCAGAGAAACTGAACCGTGTAAATGAATGGCAGAGTGTTCGAAGCAATAAGTTGCGTGAGTCAATGTTTGCTCGACATCAGCGTGGTGAATCCAGGCACGAAGCTCATTTAGCCCAGGTTGTGAGAAGAGCTGGTGATGAGAGCAGTAAAGTTAACGAGGTACGGTTTATTACCTCGTTGAATGAAGAGAACAAGAAGCATATATTGCGTAAGAAACATCAGGACTCCGAATTGAGACGAGCGGAGAAACTTCAAGTTATAAAAATTAAACAGAAGGAGGACATTGCTAGGGAAGAAGCTGTTTTGGAACGTAAAAGGCTCATTGAAGCGGAGAAGTTGCAGCGCCTCGCAGAGACTCAGAGAAGAAAAGAAGAGGCTCAAGTGAGAAGGGAAGAAGAACGAAAAGCATCGAGTGCAGCACGTGAGGCGAAGGCTATGGAACAAATTCGAAGGAAGGAGATCCGAGCCAAAGCTCGGCAGGAGGAAGCTGAACTCTTGGCTCAGAAATTAGCCGAAAGGCTCAGCGAAAGCGAACAGAGGCGGAAATTTTATCTAGAACAAATACGAGAAAGAGCGTCGATGGACTTTAGGGATCAGTCTTCGCCTTTATTGCGACGCTTTGCTGGCAAAGAAGGCCAAGCCCAAGGTAGATTGAATTCAAATCCATGCAGTAATGGGGATGATAATAATCTCGGCAATGATAGTAGCTGTACATCAGGCTCTGGTATTTTAACCAGTGAGGCATTGCAACAGTCGCTAAAGCGGAGGATCAAGAAAATCCGACAAAGACTTATGTCCCTGAAACATGAATTTCCCGAGCCTTCAGGTGGACTCGAAAGTTCAAGTCTTGGGTATAGGACCGCAGTGGGGACCGCGAGGGGTAAAATCGGTAGGTGGCTTCAGGATTTACAAAAACTTCGTCAAGCGAGAAAAGACGGTGCTGCTAATTTTGGACTAATAACTGCTGAGATGATCAAGGTATCTAATTCCGTTTCTTTGCACTTTGTAGTTAGTTATTCCTTGCTTTCGGTATAATTCCGTTTTATTATTATATATATATTTTTTTAAATTTAGTTCCTCGAGGGAAGGGATGCCGAGTTGCAAGCTTCTCGACAAGCTGGTCTGCTCGATTTTATTGCTTCTGCATTGCCAGCTTCTCACACATCTAAACCGGACGCTTGCCAAGTTACAATATACCTTCTAAGGCTTCTGAGGGTCGTTTTGGGTACGCCATCAAATAAATGCTATTTTCTTGTACAGAATCTTTTGCCTCCGATCATTCCATTGTTGGCAGCAGCACTAGAGAACTATATCAAGATGGCAGCATCAGCAAATAATATCCCTGGTCCAACGAATATTGCCTCAATTAAAACCTCAACCGGAAATATGGAATCAGTTTCCGAAATTGTGGATGGTTTTCTGTGGACCGTTGCAGCGATTATTGGTCATGTAAGCTGTAACGATTTCCAAATCCAGATGCAGGATGGTTTGATAGAGCTTGTTATTGCGTACCAAATCATTCACCGGCTACGAGATCTTTTCGCACTTTACGATAGACCGCAGGTGGAAGGCTCGCCTTTCCCTTCGTCTATTCTTCTTGGTATTAATTTATTGACCGTTCTGACCTCCAAATTCAGAGAATCATCTTCAATAGATTGGGATTCTTTTCCTAATGATGTGATGCAAGGATATAAAATCGGCCCGTCAACTTCTGCCGATTCAAGATTCACTTCATCTGAATCTAGTCTAGATGGTCGGCCCCTTTTGCCAGATTTGCCAGAGGGAAGTCCACTAGAAGATTTTCTGAGTATTCAAGGAACTACCGACGCTCACAGTGTCGAGCATACGGCTTCGAACAACCAGATTGTAGATGTTATGGATGAATCACTTACAGCTCCAAATGAAGATGCGCATCATAGTTCTGTTACTCAGAAGGATAGAAATAACTCTCTAAGCAGTAATGCAGAATCAAACCGGGGAAATGTATCCGACTCGAAGCAGCCTGCGAAGTTTCTTCTTTCAGCAATGTCCGAGACTGGATTAGTTTGTCTTCCTTCCATGTTAACTGCTGTGCTATTGCAGGCCAATAACCGATTGTCTGCTGAACAGGTTAAGTGTACTTCCATTTTTTTATGTCTATGTCGTAGTTTCGTAGTAATTATCTGCGCAAACCATTTGGACCAACTTTTGAGTTATTACGTGTATTCGAAATCCACTCTATATGGATTCCTTTGAAATTGTTCCTCAAATCGTCTCATCAAATCCAAATCCTTCAATCCAAATGCACTCTAAATATATTTTTACAATTATTTTCTGATTTGTGTGTTATATGCTTAATCCAATTAGTTTCTAGGCTATCTGCACATTCCGTAGATGTATATCATGTCAACTTTTTTGTTGCCTCTAGCAAAACGTAACGGTTTAATATTATTTTATATTGTTAGCGTTCTGTCGTCCGGCTTTGACTCAGATTTTACCGGTTTCTTGTTGCATTTTGTGAACAAGTTTTGCGCAGAAACGTTCACAGATTTTCAAAATGAAAATGTAATTGTGCTAGGTGAAGTTAAAATCCAACTTTACCGGATTAAGAGAATTAGCAGCTTTGAACTTCACTTTTAGGTAGATCGTAATATCATCATCAATGTACCTCTGTTAATATCTATGGAGATTCCTCACGTGGATTATTTTTATTTTGTATATTATTTTTGGCGCTGAATCATAATGCGAGACGAGAGTTGAAGTTCTCTTTAAACATTTACTCGAGTTTTTCCACTATTTGACACTGAATAATTTTTGCCAAACTATATATTTCAGAGCTCGTACGTCCTTCCATCTAATTTTGAGGAAGTAGCAACCGGAGTTCTGAAGGTGTTAAACAATCTCGCTCTAATAGACGTAATTTTCGTCCAGAAAATGCTGGTAAGTCCTCCCCACCTGTACCAGTGTGCACGCGTATTTTCCTCCGTATCCGTTTTTTTTATATGATTATTTTATTCTCTAAATAAATATCAGGCGCGGCCAGACCTGAAAATGGAGTTCTTTCACTTGATGAGCTTTATCCTTTCTCATTGCACAAGCAACTGGGGAACTCCCACCGATAAGGTAACCCTACAATTGTCGTCGCAAAGTTAGATTGTAGTCGACGTTTATAGTGGAAATGGGAAAATTGTAGTTTTGGTCCTCTATGTTGGCCTTTTTAGGAATTTAGTCCTCACTAACTTGTCATGTTTCAGTTTTACGTGCAATGACTTTGCAAATATAGTATTTTTAGTCCTATTTTGCATGATTTTTAATTTTATGACACGACAAATAAACTTGACGCATTTTACTTATATGGACGCTTGGAAATTTATAAATTCGACATCTAACTTACCATTTGTAGAACTTTAATTATGTGAGACGACTCATCTATATATCAAATTAGAGGAGCATTTATAATTTTTAAGTGTCCATATAAATAAATTTCTACGAGTTTGTTAGGTAGATCATTAAACGACGACTAAAATTCAAAGTTCGAGTAAAATGGGACTAAAAATACTAATTTTGTATAGTTATTGCATGTAAAATTGAAACAAGACAACTTATAGGACTAAATCCCTGAAGAGACCAACATATAGGACCAAAATTACAATTTTCTCGAGTGGAAATCATGCTTTATTTTCTGAAAGAGAATCTCTGATGTTTCTCTGCAATTCTCAGATCGGTACTCTCTTGTTCGAATCTCTGTCACTTCTCGGTTATTTTGCACTGTTCCATACGGGGAATCAAGCCGTCCTTCGCTGGGGAAAAAGCCCTACCATCCTTCACAAGGTCAGTACATTTTTCCACTCATTTCGTAATAAAAAACCTCCGACGTGGAATTATTACAGAATAGAACCTAAACCTCAGTTCCTCAAAAAAAAAAAAAAAAAAAAAAAAAAAAAATCCAGGTGTGCGATTTGCCGTTCGTCTTCTTCAGCGATCCAGAATTAATGCCGGTATTGGCTGGCACATTAGTAGCAGCCTCGTACGGGTGTGAACAGAACAAGGCTGTTATTCAGCAAGAACTCAGCATGGACATGCTTATACCCTCTCTTAAATCCTGCAAAATTCAGAACGGCTCTTCAATCGATGATTTTAGTGAGAGAAAAGTTCCGACCGATTTGTCGCAGAGGCTGAACAACAGCAGGAGTTATTCGAAGAGCGGTTCTCGTGTATTTCCTCAGAGAGGTGGTAATAATAATAATAATAATAATATCAGAAGTGTCAAGGCGAGAAACCAGAGAGAGAGCAAAGTGATGAAGCTTAATAACGGTGATGAAATGAATAATGCGCAGTCGGAAACTTCTTCTTCAACTTTGATGTTGCACTGTAGATTTCCCGTTAGCTTCATTGGGAAAGCCGAACAGTTTTTCACAGCAGAGAATAATACGTGAAATAGTTGAGTTGAGTTGGTTCGGTTTCCAACAACCTTTTTTCAGGTCGGAGAGATGCTACGTCTCTTTATTTGTTCCACATAATTTAATTTCGTTTATTGTAAGAAAAAAAAAACATGTTTACTGAAATGGAAGAAATGTGTACAATTAAAAGTGAATGAGAAATTATATTACGCGACGTTGTTTTTAACCTTGTAGACAAGAAGAACGTGCCTTCAAAAAGAACGCGCGTTAAGAGAAAGTTGAAGTTATCTACACTCTTACATTTGGATTTGTATGATTTGAGGATTTGATGAGAGAATTGGAGGGAAGAATTTTAAACCGAATCAAGTGAACTTCGAATCGATTGCAATGATACGAAAAATAGTTCGAATGGATGGATTTGTTATCATAACATAAAATTCTTACCTAACAATCCTTTCATTTGAATACACCAATTTGGAATTGAGGATCTCATTTGATTTAATCTCTTAAAACATGGTGTTTGCAAACATTTTTTGAAAGTGATTATGAGCTATTTTTTTGCTCATAATCTGTTTTTAGGTGTTTGCAAAATCAACTTTTACTTTGGGTTCTCTTAAAATAATCTGCTTTAAGCTATTTTTTTAAAAGCATCCATAACCCTGTTTTTTCTATTTAAGTTCATTTTTCGGAATAATTGCCCCAACTATTAGAAATAAGTACTTAAAACTGGCTTAACTTACAATCACTAACTTCTGCTTTTCAATAATCATTTGCAATATAGTATATGAATAATATTATTTTGATAATATTATTTTTTTTTATTAATAATTGAAGATTAATAGGGTTTGAAAAAAAAAAATCAATGTTATATGTGACACTAATATTGCAATCAAAGATATTAAAAGTAATATTTTTTTCTCTCAAAAAAAAAAAAAAAACAAAAAGTAATATTATTTTATGGCGGTTAAAAGGTCAAAAAAAAATTCCATACCGACGACTAGCTGGAAAAAGGTTTCAGAAAAATATACACCGGTTCTTAATGAAATGCATAATTTATTAAAATTATTGAAAATGCAAGTGTTTCAATCATCCGTAATAATTTTTAGGGTAAATTACAAACACCCCCTGAGGTATGATCAAATTACAAAAACCCCCCTCTTGTTTGGATAATTACATCTACCCCCCTCAACTATGATTTTTTCTTACACCTCCACCCTTATGGTGCCAAATTCAACATAATCATCTAGATTCCGTGAAATGTGCTCTAGTTTGTACTCGTTTTGTGTAAAAATACAGTTTTCGATGCACCACAAACTGATATATACAAGTTAAAAATCACATATTATGATCATCTTTCTTCATAATGTAGAGTTTGAATGGGATAAAACGGGTACAAAAGTCATAATATTCCATATAATCTCGAAGATTCCACTAAATTTGAGGAGTTGAGGGGGTGGTTGTAATTATCCAAACAAGAGGGGTGTTTTTGTAATTTGACCATACCTCAGGGGGGTGTTTGTAATTTACCCTAATTTTTAAGATGAGCGTGATAAGACGTACAAGTCATCTTGCCATTTGTAGTTTAAATTTCGTTAGCAGATAAATTATTGATGATGTAAGATTGTAAGCTGATATGCCTAATTGGGCCAACCCAATGGGCCTACAATTTCTTTATCTAATGGGCCACGAACCCAATATTTAAGACCACTATCACCGAGGCCCAATCACCTTCAAGTAAGGTTTGGGCCCGACAATCTCAACCAAGCTATAAATAAAGGTTTGAACTCAATCCTTAAGGTAAGCCCTATTATCTAAATAATACGAGGAGTCATATTCTCTCAATTATTTCGACTATCCTCACGTCTAACTTGAGCGTCGGAGGGGGGGATCAACCCCCGGCCTAGTTCACGTGTTCTCGTGAGCAGTGATCCACTCTGCTCTCCCAGCTCAACTATCTAAAGTGATCTATTTTTAGCATCATCATAAGCGCTTTGCCCTAAAACACGAGTTTTTACCTAAACTCGTGTTTTTGTTGCACGTTGCCCTACTAAAAACGGCATTTTCCGGTAATTTCTGCCGGAATACTAGACATGCGTGAATCACGTGAGTTTGGCGGGGGCAAACTTGTCTATTCACTTGCATTCCCCCTTTTTCTCCATCCTCTTGCTGTGTTTTTTTTTTTTCTCCAGAATCTCTTCTTCACAAATTCTCATTTGCTCATATACGCAAAATCAAATTCTCCATTTCTCCCCTTGATTAGTCTTCTTCTTCTTCTTCTTCCCCGTCCATTAATCACTTATAGTGCACAAGAAAATGTTTACCCCAAATTCCTCCTCCGTTGCCAACTCCAATTTCCGCCACAGTTATTCTCCCTTTTCGGCCTTCATCCTACTCCCTCTTCAATTTTGTATTGGGGGATGGGCATACCGAGGTTATTTTGCTTTTTCCCCCTCACGAGAAGGCTTCAGCATATCAATTTTCCATGTTTCTGAAAAGAAAAAAAAGAAAATCACCTATTCAATAGTACAGCAACTAAGAGTAGAAAAAAAAACACTTGCTTTTTAATCTTAGTTAAATCAAAATCTCAACTTTGCCTTGGTCTGTCTTCAGTAGCGAAAAAAAAAACTCCATTGTTGTTTGCTTTAATATGAAGGTTAATGTTTTTGAACTGTTTGTGTGATGTTATTGTTTGGATTTTGGATTGGGGTACAATTTTATATTCTCCGAATGTAAGAATTTCTTAGTCGGAAGACGATTGAAATAAGATGGGAAAATTATTTTCTTCATATTCGAGAATTGGGATTCTTTTCGAATGATCAATTGGACTGTGAAATTGAGTTTTGCGATTCCCCTCACCCATCGAGAAAATATTGCTGAAAAGTGGGATCTTGGAGGCAAAGTGAGATGGATTCCCTTGTTAAAAGGGAGAATTGTGAGAGTGGGAGAGTGCAGAAATATCGAGAAAATTGCTTTAAAAAAAATAATAATTCATCCTACTCCTTCAGTTGTGGTGTGAGAGAGAGAATTTTTCACAGAGGAGAAAAGTGTTTTCAAAGGGAAAAAATCTGCGTAAAAAATGGAGGATGAGGGATGGTGTTGGTAGAGAAGAAGGGAATGAAGAATACTAGTGAATAGACAAGTTTGCCCCTGCCAAACTCACGTGATTCGCGCACGTCTAGTATTCCGGTGGAAATCACCGGAAAATACCGTTTTTAGGGCAACGTGCAACAAAAACACGAGTTTAGGTAAAAACGTGCAAAAAAAAATTGTTTGGGGGGCAACGTGCAACAAAAACACGAGTTTAGGTAAAAACGTGCAAAAAAAAATTGTTTGGGGGGCAAAGCGCAAAACATGCATTAGTTTAGGAGGTAAACTTTTTTTTACTCTAAAATTAAAGATGATGGATTCGCTTACCTTGACTAAGAAAATTCACCATCTAGCCTCTTGTGCTTTTGAGCGATTTTAGTTATACAATGTATACAATTTTTCTTTGTGAACATCGGGATTTGATAAAGGCTGCACCTATTTGCAATCTCAAAATGTCTAAGGGCAAGATTTTTACTTTATGCAAGACCAAAATATAAATAAATTTACTAAGAGCAAGACCGAAAGTTACAAATATAACCCCAATATTGATTTTGATATTATTAATTCAAAAATGTCAAAAAAGGCCTAATTGCTATTGCAAGACCAAAAAAGAAAAAAAAAAGAAATTGAAAAACGAGAAGGAATGCTCTAGCGGGATAAGAGAAGAACACAAGGCGAGAAGAATTACCGCCGCCCATCCGCCGCCGAAGAATTGCCGCCGCCCAACCGCCGGTGCATGAAGAGGAAGAGAAGAAGAAGATGGAGCAAGGAGGAAGGAGGAGAAGGAGGAGGAGAAGAAGAAAAAGAGCATGAAGAAGAAGATAATGAGGAAGAGAAAGAAGAAGAACAAAAACAAGAAGACGAAGAAGAAGACGACGATGAAGAACAAGAAGATGAAGGACAAGAAGAAAAGGAAAAAAAAGAAGAAAATTCGACCTGTACATGTTGAATTTTTGTTGAAAAATCGACATTTACATGTCGATTTTTTGGCAAAATCTAGATGTTGATTTTTTGGCGAAAAATCGACATATACATATCAATTTTTGTCACAAAATTCGACATGCAGATGTCGATTTTTCGCGACATCTCGAGTTGATGTCGTTTTTTGCTAAAAAAATCAACGCCTAAATGTTGAATTTTGTGACAAAAATCGATACGTATTGTCGAATTTTGAATGCGCGAATTTTCTTTTTAAAAACTTAAAAAATCAATCCCCTAACTATAAAAATACATTCATTCATAGATTGTTTTTTTACTTTTTCTATAGAATTCTCCATATTGATGTCTCGTGACTCCATAATGTTATCCATTTGCATGTTTTAGTTAGATTAGAGGGTTTTGAGTGTTGAGAATTTTTGAAGAAGATGAAGAATTTTTTTTGAAGAATTTGTGTGAAATGGGTTTGTGAGGAAGATAAAATGGATTTTGCTGGTGTGGTCTTGCACAAAAAAATTGTGGAATTTTGTAATTGTGGATTTTGTATTTTAATAAGGATATTATAGTCTTTTAGTAATTTATTTGGTGAAAAATTAGACTTGGTCTTCCCCTAACCAATTTTTGCGATTGCATATAGTCGCCACCGATGAACTGAGAAGAAGACTAATTGCACACATGTGCGATGCAATGTACATAGCCAAATAGATGATGGTTGTGATGATACTGAAGAAAATTAATGAGTTTATATTATTTTGTTTAATTATAAAATAATTTAAGAAAGTTTTGTTTCTTAATGACTTTATTATATGTATAATAATTTGACTTTATTGTGTTTCATATTTCAATAATTTTCATAATCCATAACATAATATTAAATAGGGGTTATATGCCAAACACCCTTTATTGGGATTTTAATTCTTGATAAATCCTTTATTTCTAAATGATATTTGAGATAAATCCAATGGGCCTGAAAAACCATATATGTCCCCACTAATTATTAATTAGTATAACTATTTAATTTAAAAAAAATTATACCCATAATCTACACCCAAATCTTCTCCTAAAATTATTCCTCTCATCACGTTAATTCAGTTTTTTTTTTCCTTTTCTTTTTTATTTTGTTTAATGGTTTTCTTTATTTCAATTTAAAATAAAATTTTGTAATTATATTTTTTTTTTATTTTTCTTATCTTCGGTTTTTTACTTTAAATTTTTTTTTTCTTATTTATATTTTTCATGTTTTTTATTTTAATTTTAAAAATAGTTTTATTTCCTTTTTGTTTTTTCATGGTTTTTCTTTTTTCTTAATTTCGAATTCTTTTGAAAATGGTTTTTC